CTATTTTCAGGCGCTGCGTAATATCATTGCACAAACTCTTTGGTCATTTTTGAGCGAGATGCTAACGGTCTAATCAGATTCAATGATCTATGCTAAGCTACAGCTAAAAGTGCTACCGCCAGACCCGGAGATCAGCTGAATGGATTCGAAAACGGTAAAACTCAACTGTTTAACTCTAGGGGCGTTGGAAAATGAGCCTATTTTCAAAAATAGTGGAGTGTTCCTGTAAGATAACTTCAACTGCACTTTGAAAACCACTTCATCCAACATCTACTGTAGCCCATTTAACCATTTGAAATCAGATAAATGTTTACTGAACCATTAGTCATACAATTTGCAGAAAATGTGGGGGACATGATACTATTGAACATTTGAAAACAAATTCCATGATTTTATCTTATATGTTTATAAGACATTTTCCAAACGGCTTATCCTCTGTAGGGTCACTGGGATGCTGGAGACTATCCCAGCATCTCAGGCCAAAAGTGGGGGAAAATTCTGGACAACAGACAATTTAGGGCCAGGTTTACGAAACAGGGCAAATTGGCGTAAGAGCGCAATTCCAAAAAAAACGCTAATGGGAGTGTAAATTTCTGCGGGTGATTTACTAACAATGCATAAATGAAAGAACACAGATGCAGCCAGATCATTTCCATAATGACCAACACAATCTAAAAAGAGTAGCGCAAATTAGCGTCTGCTTTCAGACATGTTTTTTTGAAAGGTAAACTCCTACAAATGCATATTCAGTAAGGTCACGCGCTTAAATAACTGTGTCCACGCCTTTTCAGAGCTAATTCTTCACTGCGCATCTTTAGTAAATCCTGACCGTACTATTTTAACGCCAAAAGATGGTTTGTGCCATCCAGTGTCTCCTATTCTGCATGTCTTTGGATTGTGGGAGAAACCAGAGCACCCAGTCACAAGGAGAACATGCAAACTCCACACAGAAAGGCCTCCTGACTCAACCGGGACTTGAACCAGGAACCTTCTTGCTGTGAGGTGACAGTGCTAGCCACTAAACCACCCCGATATTCTAATTTATTATGTAATCATTTATAGATAAATGATCAAGTTTGTGACCATGTGAACTTCTTTGTACAAAAGTTATTGAATAAAAGTGCTCTTGGGAACATACACAAATCATGCTGGATGACATGATCATCAAGTTCTACATACACGTATGGAGTTTGTGATATTAAAGCAAAAAGGGGGGATACACTTAATACAGATTCTGAAATTCATGTCATTTTTTCTGTAATGCTTTCCACTCAAATTGTTATGCCGATAATATGGTTGTAATGGACAGAAAATTTAAAATACAAGCATTTCCACAAGTGGCCTCAGACTTTTGGATCCCAGTGTATTTTTAGAGACATGTTGCCATGTTTATTTAAACATCAGGATTGAGTTATAAATCTTTTGTTTGGAAACGTATATGGAAGAAGGTCTGTCATTAGGGATGTGACATTGTAGATGGATGAATGGTCATTCAGACAACTTTCTAATTTGAGAAACAGTTTATTTTACATGGCATGTAAATTGTTCTCTGCTTTGGGTCAGTCAACAGAACAGTTACCACCTACATTACTTGGCTCTGACAACCAAGCAGCACTCCAAAATGAGTGATGAAATGTAGAGATATAACAGCATCACTGAAGCAGGGAATTTCATAACCACCAAAAAATGCAGTGATTTAATGTCCAGTGTAATTTGTACAGTTTATCACACTGTACATGTACGTTGTAAATGTATCTGACTGAGCCACATGTGTACTTATGGATACATGTTTACTGGATTATCACTGTTGTCCCTTGTGTAACCGTGAAAAATAGGATGTGACCTGATGACTGATCCAGATGTGATCTAACAAAATAGTGATTATTGTGATTATATCAATTACTACTTGAAATGAATGGGTAGATACTTTATGGGTAAATACTTTCTGTGAAATGTGGGTGGATAACAGAAGCAAGTAACAAGTATGTGACAACACAAAAATATGAAGAGATACACAATAATATCTTTATTCAGAAACAAAACAATGGAAATGTGTATGTTCTGATGTGTTTGACATTAGCAACGTTTGGAAATGATGAAAGCAGTTCCCTGAAATGCTCACTATGTTGACAAAATGCTGACATTAAAACAGCTACAGATGAATTAACCTGTAAGATCCAGAGCTGAAGACCTGTTGAACAAAACAATGAAAAAACAATCAGGTAGTTTGACTTGTTTACCTGGGGCTTACTAGTGCCCTCAGTGCTGGGTTTGCTATCACTTTGAGCCTTTCCATCTTTGTTTGGATTCGTTTTCATCCAATTTAACAACTTGTTAATCTTATCGCCATGCTCTTTCTTCTCATCCTCAACAGACCTCTAAAATCATTGGGGAAAAAATTGTATGGTGGATTAGAAAACAATGTAAAACTTTCATAATTAACAAAATAATGTCTATGTTTGGATACAATATACAACATGAAATCAGCAGGTCTATAAGCTCCCAGCCATTTTACATGGAAGCCTGCTTGACAATAAATTAAAAATGCCATTGAAAAGAAAAAAAAAAGGATACAAGACATTTTTAAATAACATCTTACAGTAGAAAAAAACCCACATTTAAAGTCTCCCATTTTCACCAACATGACTTAGATATCTTAAATAAAAAATAAATATTTTATTTTAGATAATGCTCCACCACAAAGGGACGTGTCAATTACTTTTTCTGCCATTCACCAAAAATGGCCTGATATTAGAAAGACACTGTCCAGAACCATATCAGAAGTGCCGATAGGTCCAGAAGTATTGGAACGATGAAGTATTGCCAGTACTATGGGGTTTTGTTGCTTCAAGAAGGACAAACCCAGTGTGGCTGTCAAAGACACTCTTTTCTAGAGCTTCCTTGAAAGACATTTTTCGCTTGGTTTTGAGGCAGGTGATACATTTCGAATGGGAATTGTCATGTTGAAGATGTGCAGCAGTTGCTTTGTCGATCAAGCAATTCTGTATCGCATCCTCCAAAGAGACTCTCTCTTGGCTCTCTGGGTTAATGAGCCCACCAGTCGCCAGTTGAAACTCAAGACACTTCACTCCAACATCTTTCGGGAAAAGGTTCTCTTGCATCGCCTGGGCCACAGTCAAAGTCTTTCCATTCTGAGGGTGAATGATACCATAATAGGCTTGCTCACATTGCTGGAGCTGTCTGGCAAAACCTTCATCCAAGAGTCCTCGATGTTGTGCTTCTTTAACCAGAACCCTTTCTCCAGATGCTGGATCACAGATGCCTCCAGTGCAAGCCTGAGCTTCTAGCAACCTCAGCGCGGTGAGTCGGTCCACAAGGTTCTGCTGGTGTCCTTTGAAAACCGGGAGTCGTTTCTTCAAAGAAACATCCCAGAGTCCTGCAACGGGACTGTTTGGAACTTTAAAGACAACTCTTCTGGAAATCAAAAGATCAGCGAGCTCAGAAATACTGAGCTGACCACTCCGGTAGCTGTTGAGCTCTTCCATTTGGAGTATTTTCAGACTAAGAGCATTTTCAATGCAAAGCTGCCGCCCACTCTTAGGGTCTGTTAGGATGTGTAGAAGGTTCCTACTTGAGTCCATGATTGTTATCTCTTGCCATTCGCTCTCTTGTTGTGAGAGAAATAGGTAAGTTCTCTTGTCAATGTGGCCGGCCTTATATGCTTCGTAGGCTGACATTTTCGCACCATTAGAAGTGTCGATGACCGATATCCTGTGTTTGCTGGATGGTGAGAGGGTGTACAGATGCTGGTCACCAAAAGGAAGAAGATATACTCCACCATGGACATCATACACACAGATTCTGAGCAGTTCGCTATAGTACGCCTTCTGCCCTGTTTCTGCGAAGTGAAAATCTTTTGGGTTGCTGACTGGATCATAGAGACTTTGAAGGGTGGCTTGATTTACAAGCCCCTGCTCTAGCGCACAATCCATGGGTACCCTAATTCCAATCAGTGGGTGAATCAACCCTCCAGTAGCGATCTGCGTTTCTATTAATGCTTTACCTCGATGCCTGTCTAGAATTCTCTCCTCCATAGCTTGAAACACTGAAAAAATCTTCCCAGCATGAGTATAACCACTGACTGCTTTGTAAGCTTCAGTTATTTTGTCCTTGAGATCCCCAGTAATGATATCTTTCTCAAAAGCATCTGACGGCGAGTAAGCTTCACCTGTCATAGGATCAATGATGCATCCTGTGGCAGCTTGTGCTTCCAGAAACTCAATGGCATAGGTTTTAGATATAAATCCTCCTGCAGCAGCATCTAGGAAGGACAGCTTTTTCTTGCTTGACTCCATGTAAACACCTGCAATTGAGGATGGTTTACCAATGAATTGAGCAAGTGATGCTTCTATCTCCTCTATAGTGATGAGGCCTGTTTGCAAGTTGAGTGCAATTTCCTGAGTAATTATTTTAGTTTTTACCAACTTTTTAATACTTATCTGTCCTCTGAGACCTTGAATTTTATTGGAAGAAGACTCCATTTTTAGCACTTTTGATTTACTTGTTACAGGCGAGCCAGAAGCAAGATCGATGGAGGAATCAGAATCAATGATATCGAATGAAACAGTCTGACTTTTACCAGACCTGCCTTTATCAGACACTGAGCTTTTCCCAAGTATAGTGTCAGTCATCTCACTCTGACTGTTACCAGCCATCACTTGGTTTTTGTGTAGTTCAAAAGCATTTGAATTCTGGAGTGAAACTGGATTTTCTGTTGCCTTGGTAGCATATTCCAGCGTTCTCTCATTGATCACTTGCAGTTTGCTTTGCTTTACTTTTCGTAGCTCCTCCAGCACTTTTTCCTTTTCCAGTGTAGCTATCTGCAAGCATGAGATCATTTATGCTATTAGTGCATGAAAATATGTCAGAATAAGTGTACATTTTTAATAAATATATTTCATTATATAATAAATGCATTACTTTTATACATTTATATATTAATAAATATTTAGGCAAGAAATAAGGTGAAGTGTGTAATTTCTGCATCAACAGAACTGCAACAAATAATTATTGTTTCCTTTCTGCCCTTCTCCCCCATCTTCTAATGCTTTTATTCACAAAAGTGAGAATTATTTACATGCTGAAATTAACATTGCACTATCACTATCTGGGGTAAGCAGGTGGTAAACAGAATTGTAATTATAGTGATCATGGCAGCAATAAATTTGCAATTGATTATCAAATTCTGTAAAAGAGAGGTCAACTATCAAATGACACTTGGGTTTGCTTGTTGTCAGAATTTGGTTCATTTGGATGATGTGAACACTGTTTTTCAAACTATGGTATGGTTCATGTGGAATCCAGTACGGTTTGCTGCTGATCTGAATGCAATTGTCCTTAATTGCAGAAATGAACAAAGCCACTGGAAGGCAAGCCTGCAACCTTTAGCCAAAAAGCATAACGGCTAATGCTAACGCTTCCGCTTTGGCAGTACGTGGGAAAGGAGACCAGAGGCTGTTTTTTTAATGGATGTCAATGGAGGAGAGTCTTCACTAAGCTGAATAAACAGCTTATCATTTAATGAATCGACAGCGTATCGGCTAATCTTCAACATGTTTTACTCTAAGCAATATTTTTGGATTGAACTATTTTTAGAGTTTACACTGAAAATAAAATGCTGTTTTATAAGAGAAGTCACTGACTTTTTGCGACAGGTGGGATTCAGCTTACGGCACTTCTCATTTATTCCTATGGTATCTGTAAACAGCAACTGAGTGTCACACAACTCTGACTGAAATTCAATGACATCAAGGCTGTAATGTGATTGGTTATTAAGGTACACGTTATCCAAGTTGACCGTTACGCTTTCTCCAATAGTAAGTAATACAGAACCTCTCATCTCCCTATAGTAAGACAATCTCTGGAAATTAACCGCTATTTATGAGCTATAGGGCTGTCAACATTTTTTTCAAATTTCGAATATTCGTCGAATATAAAATAAAAATCCAAATTCGAATGCAAAAACGTTGCATTCGAATTTTAAGTGTGTGTCAGGCAGCCTTGTCAGTGGCGCACGAAATGCGACGACGATTTAAGTGTCATTGCATTTTAATGCTTTTGTTAGCCTATCCAGTTGAACCCACTAGATGCGGCGCTGCTACGTTGTTCATTCAAAATATTGCAGAAAAAGAGAACAATCAATGCGAGGAAGATGTTGTTTATGTCAAAACAGAAACCAAGTCGTTCACACAGAATGCATATTTATCGCATTTTCTAGAGGGACATCTATCACCGTTGCACTCGCGTCTTGTAGAAGAGAGCCGCATGTTTAGAAAGCTATGTAAAATTAATGTAAGTTCAACTTTTAAAAAACATGTCTCAAGACTTTATTGCTTGGTTTTCCCCATCCCACTGCATCTCAAGTTTTTAAATGAAGAAAGTACTCTTTTTGATTGGTTTTCGGTCCTTTGTATTAAACTATACATACATGCATGATGCTGTTTTGTTTCTAATTGCTTAAGTAACTTTATTCATTATACATGGTTTATAAACCATATATAATTAATTATTTTAAACATTATGCACTTTTTTCAAAGACAGTCGTGTTATTTTATTATGCTTTGAAGAAACGTGCATAATATTTTTGTTATTTTATTATGCTTTGAAGAAATGTGCATAATATTTTTTTCGATGCGCCCTCTTGTGGCCTCAGGAGAGAAGCCAAAAGCTTTTTTTTTCCCCTAACTGAAATTATGCCTTTTAAATTCGAATATAATTTGAATATTGATAATATTTAAGTAAAAAATTCGAATTTAGTTTTTCAGCCATTTTGACAGCCCTAATGAGCTATGATTGGTCAAATCGCTCGCCTCCAACAGAAACTGACTTCTCTAGAACTTTTGCAGAACATTAATGGTAAACAGACCAAGGTACAAAAGTGAGGCAAGCAACCCTATATATTTTTTTGCTTTGTTCAGTGTTGCCGTTACCTAACAAGTGTAAACAGCTGCCGCCTTGATGACGCAAGCGTGCCATGGTTCTGACCCACAAAAAACAGGTGTGCATAGAATAGAGGGGGAGTAACTGAACTCTGGTTCGGACCAAGCAACGGAACCAAGTGTGAGAGCACCCTTAATTATAGCTGTCTCTGCACATTGTTAAAACACATCAGGAAATGACAGTTTTACAAAACTGAATACACTTGAAGTCGTACCTCAGAGCTCATTTTCATTTTCTTGAGTTCCTCCTCCATGTTCCTTTTCGCTTCTTCATATGACACAACAGTTATCTGAGTCAGCTGAAGTTCAGTCTTTAGCTTTGCCAGCTCTTCATCTTTAGCACACTGATGACTGGCATGTCCGAGTGCCTCCAATTCTTTTAGCTGCTTCTTCTCAGAATTGACTGCTATCTCAAGCTTCAGATTCTTCTCCTGTAGAGACTTAATTTCACTGATGTACGAAACAATCTGTTCCTTTAGAGATCTTGCTTCCCTTTCTGAGATGCCCAATTTCTGCTCAGTCTCTGTCAACATTTGCTTAAACCTTGATATGTCGTTTGAGCTGTCTTTGTGAATATTGTCAAGTTGAAAAATACTGGATTTCACTCTGATTTTTTCCGTTTCTAACTCAGAAATCTTTGATTTTGCTTTGAGAAGTTCAAGGTCAAGTATTCCCCTCTGCCTGTCAGATTCATCCAACTGCATGCGTACGTTGCAGAGGTGTTCTTCAGCCTCTTGCTTTGCTTTTGTTGCATTAGAAGTTAATGTTTTCAGCTTCTCCACTTCTTGAGACAGGTGCTTGTTGTCTCTCTCAGCACTTTCCACAGTATGTGAGTGCTCCTTTAATTTCCTCTCATGCTCCAACTTTAAGCGTGATTCCTGCAGCGAAAGCTTTTGCACCATTTCAGCCTGCACTAGCTGCAGTTGAGTCTCATAGCCTTTCTTTTGTAAGTCGAGTTTGCCTTTGAGATCGTTAAGCATCTTTTTACAGTTGTCCAATTGTTCAGCAAGCTTCTGTGATCTCAACTCAGCAGCTGCTGTTTGATTTTGCTTCTGTTTAAGCTCTTCCTGGGTTTGTCTCAACTTCTGCTTCAGCTCTGACGTCTGCAGAGTTAAACTTGTGATTCTGTCTTCTGCAGCATTCCTATCCTTCTGAAAAGTGACTAGTTCTTGTTTTAAATTCAGTACAGATTTATCTGCGCTTGAGCTCAATTCTCGCATAACAGAACTTTTCCTTTGGAGTTCTGCCTCCAGTTCTTTGAGTTTGGACTGACTTAACCTGTTTTCGTCAGTCACTCGCTGTAGCTCATCTTTTGTTCTTTTTAGAGTGGAACTAATATCATCAAATTCACATTTTAAAACCTGTAACTTCTGGTCAGCAGTTTGCTTATCCCTCTGAAGGGATGAAATGTCCTGTTTCAGGCTTACTGTGGCCTTCTCTGAACTTCCACTGATCCTACTAATTGTCTGCTTACATTTCAAAAGCTCATTTTCAAGTTCTCGAACTTTTGACAAGCTCTTTTTACCTTCAGACGACTCCCTTTGAGATTCTCCTATGGCTTTTTTTAAAGCCATGTTCAGGTTATTTATCTCGACTTTATGTTCCTGAACCTTCTGATTAGCCAGATTCCTCTCAGTGGTTATAGAACTCAGCTCTGCTTTGAGATTTGAAATATCTTTTTCATAGTTGGTGATGGTCAACGTTAGAGACTTGATCTTCTGCTGCAGCTCGGCTGTCTTTTTGGCTTCTTCGTTGTAATCTTTAAGTCTGATTTGAAGCTCATGAGATACCTGTGTTTTGTTCAGAAGTTCCTTTTCAACAATTTTTACCTGAGATTTTGCACTTTCTGCCTGGGATCTGAGTATATTAATTTGCTGTTCCTTACTGTCAATCTCAATGGATGCTCTATCAAGTTGAACTTTCACATTTTTAATGGACCGTTCAGTCTCCATGTTAATCTTCTTCAGTTCTTCTACTTTCTTGGTAAGCTGGGTCACTTGCAAGGAACATTTCTGAAGCTCTAGTTCAAGGTTTTTGATTTTGAGTTGAGCTTCCTTCTCTGTTCTGGTCTTCAGATTGATTTCGTCTTTGGCTCTCTGCAGTTGCTCCTTCAAAACCTCTGCCTCACCTTTCAGGGTTTTAATCTTTTGGTCAGCATGTGATTTGTCCTGCTGGATTGACTCAATACTTACCTTAAGATGACGGGTATCACTTTCCAATAATTGATTCTTTCTGTTAAGTTCATTCACCTTGAATGTCATCTGCTCTACCTCAGACTGTTTGGAAGACAACTCGTCTTCCAGGCACCTCAACTTATGAGTGCTCTCCTGTTCCAAAGAGGTCCACTGTAGAAGTTTTCCTTGATTGACTTTGAGCTGGTCTTTTAGACCATCGACCTCTGTCTTCTGGAACAGCACTCTTTGCTCCAGAGCAGATTTGTCTCTTTGGAAAGACTTGATTTGTTCTTGATACACATAGACAGACTTCTTTAGTTCAGAAGTTTCTTGTCTCAACTCCTCTGATTTCTGTCTCATGTTGGACCTATCTGCATCCATTTCCACTTGTAGCTTCAAAAGCCTGTTGTTTGCTTCATCCAAGAGTTCTTTGAAACGTTGAGCTTTCTCCTCAGCCACAGTTTTGTGGACAATAATTGAGTTCAATTCGGATTTCAAGGACTTGATTTCAGTCTCAGCTCGCTTCTTGCCCATAATGAGCTCCTCCATTTTGCGCTGTAGGACTTCTGCCTCAGATTCAGAATGGATTATTGAAGAACTGGTTTTAAAAGATGCCAGTTGTGCACCTTCTTTGGAGAAACCCAACCTGGATTCACTTGGCATCATCCTGACTTCTGACTGGTGGGCCAGATCCATTTCCATGATTCTCACTTGGCTTAGAAGCTCTGCCTCGGCGTCTTCCTTAGCCCTAATTTCTCGCTCTAACGTGCGACTATGCTCCTCCAGGCCCTGTACATCACTGTCCTTGCGACGTAAATGATCTTCCAGCTTCTTACGGGCTAATGTGCTCTCTTCTATGCTTTTTATAAGGTTGCGGAGGCTCTCTTCCAGCGAGGCCTGTTTGGCCTCTGACTGCTGAACCTGCTGTCGAGCACGATTCAACTCTTGCTCCATGGAACCCTTGCTTTTGATCACACCTTCTAGTTCAACACGGTATTTCTGAGCCTCATACTCAGCTTTTGATTTATGTAAGGTTAAGTCCTCGATTGACTTTTTCTGCATCTCAAGGTCTGCCCCCAGGATGTCCAGCTGCTGTTGCCTGTTAGACAGCGAAGCCTCGAGGTCCAGTACCTGACGCCTAAGCCTGGCGATCTCCTCTTCACTTGCAGATTTCTGCAGCTCTATGCTCTCAGTCCAGCTCAAGTACTCTGCATTTTCCAATGACTTCCTCCTCTGAAATGAAAGACACAGTCATCTTCCAGTCAACCACCTGGAGGAGAAAAGGCGGTTCTTGCCCACTTACCAATAAAAGCTTGAAAAAATACCACCACCACCACCACGTATTGGCATGTACTCTTCAGCATGTTTCCAGGACATGCTTTCCCAAGATACAAGGTCACCAGCAGTGATACAAAATACAGCCATATGTGCTATTTTGTATCAAAATAAATGTCCAAGCACTGAGGAACATTTTGTATTGCAGGAACCACCAGCAAAGTTTAATAAACATGTGTTTTTGTATGTTGTTAGTATGTATGTCGTTGTTCTGATGTGTCACTGGTGAATGAAAAATGGCTGGAAGCACAGTCTTGCTAAATAGCATGCAATAACAGCATTTCACCTACTATACGAATGCTAATTAACACTACTGGATGAAGCGTTAAGGAATAAGTCAACAAATGTCCTACCTCATCCTCTTCCGCCCTCTTCAGTGTTTCACCGGCAAACTTCACATACTGCGTCATCAGAGTAACCAGGGCTGTGTAACGTGTTCGAAGGTCCATAAACTGAAGAGGGAAACAAACAAAAAATGCTCACAAATACTCAAATGAATGCCAAAATGACAAAAATCCCTGTTTCCTCTCGTACCTCTTGCTGGATGACGTCAGAGGAACTCTGCATCTTCCTTCTCTTCACTGGAGACTTATGCTGAGAGTCAACCATGGCTCTGTAAGTCATCAACTGCAGTTCATAGTCCTTAAAGACGAGGAACAAATATTATTCAGTTAAATAACTTTATTTTACCATATACTTAATTGCCATTTTACTATTTTAGTATCTATTTTATTGGTTTCGTTGGGGATGAAGTCTTACTAATGGGCAAAGTACAATAATGGTACTATGGGACAGTATGGTACTGAATGATTACAATATTCTAGTGGTGTCAAAATTAGCGCGTTAACGCAGGCGATTAATTTTTTTCAGTTAACCGCGTTAAAAATAGTTGGCCACCCCACTCACAACTGCTGCTTGTCACTTTTTCTCTTAACAAGAAGTGCATTTATTCAGTCGCAGAACGACTGAGAACAGGAGACGTTTCCGATGCCCGCTCCACTTCACTTCAGCGCCAGGCTCGAGTCAAGCTCCTGGAGCAGCCCAGCACTGTCTCACTCATCTAACACACCCAATTCAACTCGTCAGCTCTTTAGTAGACCCTTTAAGACCTGAAGTGGGTCAGAAAAGGTAAAAATATTTGAGAGAAAATATGATGCGTGTCAGATCCGCGTCACGTTCAGCAGCGGCAGCTCTTAAAGAAATAACAGCCAAAACAACCTAATAACCAGCTGCTGTGATGTCTATTAATCAAAGGACAAAGAAAAAAAAAAGATTTAAAAAAAGTTTTAATGATTCATCTATATTTAATTTAGAATTTAGTGTTTGATAACTTCAATTTCTGTATATTTCTGCTGAGGGCACAAGTAAATATGACATTTATTATAATGGGTTTATGTGAAGATTGTTTAAAGTTCACTTAAATTAGAAGTTATTTTTTAAAGTTTAATAAATGTTAAAATTGATAGCTCTCAATTATACTGTAATGTTGAATGGCTATAGTCAATGGTTAAATATTAGGTGGGGGGTGGATTTTATAGAGAAATAAGTATTGGTATCATTGATACTGGCCTTCAGTCATAAAAAAAGATGCCATTAAACAAATATTTAAAAAATATACTGTTTTATGTTCTTTGTTCATTAATTTGAAGATTGAATGTGAAATTATTGCAATATAAAAGTATATTTAAAAACTTTAATGTTAGGTGGGATTAATCGCGATTAATTTCAGAGAAATGTGCGATTAATTCGTTTTTGTTTTTTTATCGATTGACAGCACTACAATATTCACATACCTCAGTCTACCATGGTGCCTTATATTTTGTTATGTCAGAATATTTCAAAGCAATAATTTAGTCTTACTTTCACTCCAACTGCATACTGCTCTGAATACTTCTGGCACTCCTCAATTTTGCTTTGTTTTTGTTCAATTTCTGTGACCAAAACCTAGAAATAATGGCAATGTTAGGATTTGGTGCAAATAAATGATATGAATAAATACGATTTAACTTTTTTTTTTTCATACTTTCTGCTGGTTAAGGAACTCGGCCAACGCCTTGCTGTCCTCGGGCTGATTCTCTTGGGCCTTGAGCTGCTTGGCTTCCATTTCTTTGCTCCATTCATCCAGGCTGTTATACGTGTCTTTGTAGTACTTAAGTGACTTGCTGATGCCTTCCAGGTCTCGGAGCCTAAACACCATGAAAAGTCAATATATCACACATTATGAAGGTAAATAAATGAGAAACACACTTATCGCTGCAGCACAGCATTAGCTAGGGGCGAAAGAATCAACTTAATGACCTGTTTTCAATCTGAGAGTGGATGTTTTGCCATCGTTCTTTGAGCTGGTCGGCCTTCTCCTTGTGCCAATCCAAATCAAAGTCTCTCTCGTTGTGCGTTTTGAACATTCGCTCACTGATCACCCGTGCCTTCTGCAGCTCGTCCTCCAAGTCATGGAATACCTCACGTCTTTCATCGATTTCAGACCTCCATTGCTAAAAATTACCATCAGTGTTAAGTCAAAGATGTTTAATGGCTGAACCATCATCGAGACAACATTTTCAAAGTTACAATGAGATTTTATTACCTTAAGAGTGCTCATGACGCCATCGATAGATTTGATATTAGCATTGATTGTATCCTCCTCGCACAACTTAGCTTCATAAAGTTTGACCAGAGCTTCGGCACTCTGACTGTGCTTCACCACCAAACTCACTGTCTTCAGCCTGAGTGAAGATGATTTGAGTCAAACAAGTCAGATTATATAGCAATGATTTCAGCTGATTAAATATTTTAGTGCTGTCCATAACAAGAGATTAAAAACTAAATGTAAAGATACATTTACATTAGCCTGGTAGTGGTAATTTGAAGTGTTTAACAATGGGAACATTTTACAAGGACAACAGAGAGCAGACACAAGATGATGTGAAGAAGAGGGGAGAATAGGACTGGGAAGTGTCATTCAAATTCACAATGCTTACATGAGCACCTCAGCACATCTACTAACCACTAGGTCACATCTCCAACTGTTTATTTAATAACACCCTTCTTAACTCTTTCAAAAACATCACATTTGAGGAGAAAGTTAATACTCACTTCTCCAGGTAGATGCAGCACATGGAGTAGACCTGGTTTGTGCTCTGCGTGAGGATGTTGAGCTCAGAGGAAAGTGTAGGGACGGATGGAGAGGCAGCTGCTTGCCTGAGGAAAACGTCACACTTCTCTCTCAGGCACTCTAGGTCATCCTTCAACCTATCTAGCTCTACCTTCTTCTTCTGGATGAATGAGAAAGGACCAATTTTGCTTCAGCGTCCAGATTTTACATTGGAAGTGGTGATCCAACTTAGTACCAAAAATTGGTTATCTCACTAAAACGTATTATATTTTATATTTATTTATATATTATTTAACTATTTGTATTTTTTAAAGTATTATGTGAAAATAAAGGAGAACAAAAATGAAGCGGAAGATCAAACCTCCTGTTCGGTGATGCGCAGCACACACTCCTGCAGGTCGTCTCTGTCTAGCGGGGTACGTATTTTCCGAATCAGCTGTTCCTCATGACCCTCCACCCGCATGCGGAAGTTACGCACCTCAGATATGAAGAGGTTGTACACGGACTCCTCGTGTTCTTCTGTTGACCACCAGAGGGCAATACATTCAAGATGAGTACATCATTGAGACTCCATGTCCAAACAATAATCTGTAGTTTTTTGTGCATTTGTTTGCCTGTTTCTGTTTCTTGGAGAAAATATACTGAAAATGTAACTAGTGACAACACAACTAATCTTATAAATCTTTAACATTGGTGTATGTGCATATAATTGTGATCAGTTTTGTTGACGATTAATCTGGCAGACAATATTTCAGGACTCCGTTTTTACATTACAGGTGCCAGACAGTGAACTTGTTTGTTTCAAGAACAAAAACCAACATATATTTAAAGTGTACATAGTAATTAAATAATGGAATCAGGTGCATTACAAATGATCAATAGTTAAACTTCCAGATTAAATTTAAATGCATTCCCACAAACCCTTGCTCTCTAATTTCTCTAATGTTGAGGAGGAGACCTGTGAATGGATAAAACATCATTCCTTATAGTATAAACTTTCTACTTAATAAGCTTAGGAGAACACGTGTTTCTTAAGCATGTATGCTATACTGTATGTCTGGTGGCACCAGTAACTGCTAATTTGAATATAGTTAAACGATTCTCTGTTGCCTGATATGGCCATTGTCAGTGTTGGGGAAAGTTACATTTAAAAGTAATGCATTGCAATATTGCGTTGCTCCATAAAAAGTAACTAATTGCGTTACTGAATTACGCATCGTAATGCATTACGTTACTTTTGTGTTACATCTTGTCACCAGAGCTGGTCTTGCTTATTTGTTCTTTAATAACAAAAAAAAATAACAAAGTTATATCTTTGGCAACTGTAAAGGCACTTTCACACCAAACATGAAACGAATAAGCCTCAGGCTGCAGGAAGTGCTTCTGCCTCTGCACCTCACTCCTTATTTCTCTCAACAAGGGGTCAGGAGAGGTCTCAGCGAATAAATGGGAAAACAAAGTAACTTGCATTTGAAAAAGTAACTCAGATATTTTGTAGTAAATTCAAAAGTAATCCGATACTTTACTCGTTATTTGAAAAAAAGTAATCTGAATGCGTTACCCCCACCACTGGCTACTGTCATAGCTGTCCATTGTTGTATCTGGGGACGTGTGTGTGTACAGTAACTTGCCTCTCTCTGCAGATTTGAGGAGTTCCTCATAGTACTCCTTACACGCCAGAACCTCCTTTTCCAGCTGGGCACAATCAGCCACCGTGAAAACCTCCGATTCATCGCTGTCCCTCAGGAAGTCCTCAAAGTGGGACTGCAGGCTGCTCAGCACCTGCTCGTGATCACCTGGCAATAGGGTCTTGATCTAGGGAGGGAAATTAACATTATACTACTGTATCAGCTCCCAAGGTTTTAAAACAACTTTCGTCTCAGGGGCCGCAAAAAGAAGATTTGTACCGAGGCAACACTGCTTTTGCGGATGGCGCGGATGTCAGTCATCAGATAGTGCCAGGACACGA